TTATTTAATAAAGTAAGCAAAATAAACACTCCAAAAAGAGATTGTGGTGGACTGCCTCAAGGCAGGGAGCAGTCCAGGAGGTTCCCAATTTGGATTTTTAAAAAAGGTTTTCATGTGTATTTATGAGATTAAGTGGCAGATTCATGTCATGACATGAGATAACCCTTCCCCTCCCAAATATTGGTGGACCAGATCTCCCTCTTAGAGTACTGATTCCCATGCTCCCCTGGAAAATCTCACAAATGGAGGGTGTCAAAAGCATAGCACAGGCTGGAGAAATGGCTCAGGGGTGAAGAGCTCTTGTTGCTCTTGCACAGGACTCAGGCTTGGTTCCAAGCACCCACACAACAGCTCACAACCATCTGTAACCCCAGTTCCAGGGGACACAATGCCCTCTTCTGACCTCCTCCAGCACTAGGCATGCACATTGTTCACATACATACACACACACAGGCAAAACACCCACACACATTAAAAATAAAAAGCCACAATGCAAGTAGTATTATAATGATGCCAGGTCTTTCGAGAACGTAGACCCTCTGTGAACTCACGTGTGTGGGAGAATGACCTCTGGTGCCTTGAGAACGGCATGTGTGTGAGAAGATTCCCTCTAGCACCTTAATGTCTGACAAAGCTTGAACAAAAGTGCACTTTCAAGGATGTTTAACCACAAAGGCAATCTGAACAGCAGGAGACACAGTTGCCACGATGCACCTGCAGTTTTCCTTGGTTACTTCGTGTCTAGTTCCTTGGCTACCTGGTATCAGAATATGGTACACACACCATATACCCAGTGCCTGGTACATAGTACTGTTCAACAGCTATTTATTGAATAAGTGAATGAGTGAAAACAGTAGATACAAGTGGCCTTGAAAAATTATACAACTTTACTGAAAGGCCCAAATAACCAGTATTCTCTTGAAAAAAAAAAAATTAGGGAAAGTGAAGGACTTGCCCTATATACTTTTCAACTTCATTATCATAAATCCATAGTGATTAAGACACTAGGACATCACTAAAATCATTTGGAAGTTGTGTGTGTATGTCAAACGTCTACTGTCCCAGCACTGTACTAGGGAAGAAGCAAGAGAATCACAAGTTTAATGGCAGCTTGGGCTACTCAGTGTCTCAAAAACAGTAAGTAACAGGTAGGTAAGTAAGTAAATAAATACGTAAACAAGAAAAACCCCAATAATTGAAAAAGAAAAATGGAGGCAAGGTATGGTAGTATATGCCTTTAATTCCAGCATTTGGAAGGCAGAGGCAGGCAGATCTCTGTAGGTTCAAGGCCAGCATGGTCTATATATCTAGTTCTGGGCCAGCTAGAGTTACAAGGTCAGACCTTGTCTCAAAACAACAGCAAAACAAACAAACAAACAACAAACATGACTCCAACTATACAACACATTATGTAGAGATTATAAATTGTAAATTATTAATTATTATTAATCCATGATAACTTAATTTAGAAATAATGAAGTCACACTCATCTTCACAAGAGGACTAGACAATGGTTTGAAACAAAGAACTGGTTGTGGTGAGATTTTTTTTTTTAATTTTTGTTTATTGTTTTGTGGGGCAAGGTTTCCCTGTGTATCCTAGGCTGGTCCCAAATCCATCCATCCTGTAGAATGTTTCATGATTTTTATTTTATTTTTCTTTTGGTTTGTATCATATAGGATGTAACATTTTTGCTTTTAAAAGGACTTTAAAAGATAAATCACTTTGCGTGAGTGTTTGCCTGAATGTATGCACATATGCCACCTGTGTGCCCGATACCCTAGGACGTCAGAAGAGAGTGTTGAATCCCTTGAAATTGGAGTTTTTGATGGTAGTAACCATCATGTGAGTGCTGGGAACAGAACCCAGGTCCTTGCAAGGGCAACAAGTACTCAACAACTGAGCCATCTCTCCAGCCCCATAGGATACACTTTAAAAGTAATCTTAGAGATGCTCAGCAGGAGAGGACCTTGGAGGTCCTGGGCTTAGCATCTCCAGAATGAAATAAAATAACATTTATATAAAAGCTTTTCTAAACACAACAAAAATCCAGACAAACTTCATTACAACACTGCTCAAAGACAACAGCCAAATAGAACAAATATGTACAGCTCATAGCAAAGGACTGGTTTCTTTCAGCTAAACCACTAAGAAACGCCAACTCTTAGAGAAAACTTAGCACAAAACATGAACAGACTGTCAAAAGGAAACACGAAGGTATGCTCAGCCTTACTCAGAACAAGAAACGGAAGTGGCTGGGACACTACTGCTCGGTTGCTGACAGAGACAGGGAAAGCAGGGTAACCGTTGCTTGCTGCAGTCATCTGCCAACCTCACACTCCCTGTCACTCCTGAATCACTGTCTACAATCCCAAATGCTGCTCCTGAATACAGTCCTTGATGATTTCAGTATCAATACAGACAATTTTTTTATTCCAATATTCTCTCCACCCCACTCCTTGAGCATTTTTTTCCTCTGTTGACATTGTTCCCCTCTTTTGCTAGCCACATGTCACTAACAAATTCAACATAAAATACACCCACCTATAGGCAGTCTACCCTCCAACTCCCTTCTAATATCCTGCCTAGTCACTCATCTCCAACAATTCTTCAGTCCCATCTGAACCTGCATTCCCTCTCCCATACGCTCTCCTTAGCCCACTAGAGTGGGCTTCATCTCTGTAATGCCATCTTGCCTGTGTTTTTCAATTTTTTTTACCATGCCAGCATTTATCGCGCTCAGTAGGCAACCCCTTCCCTGGCGCTCACACAACCACTCACCTGTTCTTCAGCTGTACCTGTATAGCCCAAGGTGGCCAGAGAAAGTTCTCACTAAATTTACGACCACGGAACTCAGGCAGGCCCTAGAACTGCTTGGCAATTATGTGAGATTTCTCCAGACCACTCACTCTCCTAGACACAACCATCTCAGCCCCCTAGTGTCTCCCTCTCCATCTTCATCCTCAGCTGTGGGACTTCCTTCTTCACTGAGAAAACAAAGCAATCATAAAACAAACCGAACATGAAACAAACAAACAAACAAACAAAAAACAAAATCAGAAGAGAGTATCAGCAAGCTCCCACGCTAACCCACTTCAGAGTCCGTGTTCCCAGTCTTCCCTGCTGCCTCCCTGGACCAACGGCCTGTGTTCCCCAGATGAAGCCGGTGCATCAACCTGTGCACTAGAGCCTACCCCTTTCACTGCTGCAGGACGTTAGCTCAGAAATCCTCCATTCTCTTTCTTGCATACTCTCGGCATATCGCACTGGAGTTTTCCTTGTCCTGGCTTACATTGCTCCACCAGCCTGCTTCTCTGACCCCTTCAAGGCTGTTCTGCGGTTGTTTCTGACCTCTAGAATCCCATTCTCTTTGTACACTGTAGGGAGCGAGTTAAGTCCTTGACTGAATGTGTATTGTTGACATGGGCATCAAGAACTCCAGTAGTTCAGTCCTACAGGAAGGGCAAAGCCTTCCCCGGGTGAGGCTGAGAGGGATGGAAGAGCCGTCCTTGGGTCTGAGTGCGAATGTTGGCAGGATGTGCAGACCCACTGCCACCACCCAATGTCACATCCTGAAGACAGCTCCCCTACAGAGATTGCTCCTTGAGGTTAGCTAAACCCAGGTCCTTGTTCAGCTGTATGTAACAACCCAACTGCTTGTTTATCTGTGTGTAACAACCCGACTGCTTGTTTATCTGTGTGTAATAACTCGCCTCCTTGTTTATCTGTGTGTAATAACTCGCCTCCTTGTTTATCTGTGTGTAATAATAACTCGCCTCCTTGTTTATAACTCGCCTCCTTGTTTATCTGTGTGTAATAACTCGCCTCCTTGTTTATCTGTGTGTAATAACTCGCCTCCTTGTTTAGTTGTGTGCAATAACTCGCCTCCTTGTTTAGCTGTGTGCAATAACCCCGCCTCCATGTTGAACTGTATATGTCAAACACACTGAGCCTCTGGGATGCCAAGCCTTCTTTATGAGACTGAGCATAGACATCAGCTTTTCTGTGTGTCCACACATTTGTCATTCCTTCATTCTTTGGCCGCTCAGTTAGGTCAATCCTTGGCATTGTACACAGTCTTGGCAATGCACCTAAACTCCACTGAAATATTCCTGTTGAGGTCATCAATATCTTTGGCCCTGCTAACTCTAAAGATCAGTGTTGAGCAGTACTGGTTGGGACATTTTCTGAGGTAAGCTCCAGGACATGGCACTGCCTTGGCTTTACTCAGACCTCACTGGCAGCTTCTATTCATTATCCCTTGACATCTAAATACTGGACAGTCAGGTCCAGCCCTTAAAGCTCCTGTATTCTAGTAACACTCATTTTCCCCAGTCTCATTTATTCACATTTGTGCCCACAGCCTGCATCCTTCCCTTAGGACCCCCACTGATGTTTGCAGCTTCTTTTTAAAACTACCCACCTGGGTGCTTAGTTAGCATCCCAAATGTGGCATGGCTACAACCAAACTCCTAGCATTTCACCCTGCAAACGTGCTCTCCCCCAAATCTCCTTCCTAGGGAACTCCCTCTTCCAAATTGGTCAGATCTGAAACCCTGTAGACACCTTTGAATGGCATCTCTCTAGCTCTGTCTCTGACTCTCTTGTTTCTCCCCTTATATAACAAAATTCAGATACTAAGACAGGCGTGGTAGTGCACACATGGGATCCCAGCACTCGGGAGTCAAGTCACACAGCACAGAGCACCAGTGCCTTGCCCACAGCAGCCCTGCTCGGCCATCTCCCCTTAGACATTCTTCACCATCCCATCATATCCTAGTTCTTTTCTGGTTCCTTTGCTAAAGGAGGTGGGGACTGTAGCTCCAGAAAGCTTGCCCTAGGGACTTCTCTCAGCAGGCCATGGCTGGCATTTCCTTGGACCCTTGGGGAGTCTCACTGGCCTCAGAGCCACCCACATAGCACCTTAGGGAACCTCTCTGCTTCCACCTCTCTGCTAAATGCTCATAGGCTCAATCCAGGTCCCCTCCCCAAGCCTGTACCTGTCAATAATGACTGGATCTGAGGGTGTCTCATTCCGGTTCCCACAGCTCTTGCGGTCACAGCACCGGCTGAAGAAAAGATGAAGAAAGACAGAAAGAACGAGTGTTAGGGGGCAGGCCCAATGAGGGATCAGATGTCCTGTTCTGGTTGTACAATTCCTATGTTCATGGGGATCTCTTCCGGGGACTTGAGGAAGAAAGCCAAGAAGGGTCTTGGCAGGACCCTTGGCAGCCTAGTTCTAGGGATGAGGTTGACTGTGAAACCTGTGTCACCAAACAGTGGATCACCTACAATATCTCTTGGATGATCACGAAATGAACCTGTTCCTGTAAGTGGCATTCTGATCCAGACATGTCCTGTGCCCAGCACTCCAGATGCCTTCTCTAGCTTTTTTAAATTATTGTTATATTTTCTTTCTCACGTATTAGGAACTATCTCTGTGGCACTGTAGGACTGGTGTATCCAGGGAAGCCCTTCAGGAAATGCTAAGCTCTAGTGTAAAGAGAAGGGGGGGCCCTCTTCACCCCCAACTTATCAAAGAGCTGCCTAGCATTTCTCACACCTAGGCAGTTAGGTTTCCTCCACCTTAAGCAAATCCCAGAGGCTCCTGGGTTGCCCAACCCAGTTCTGCCCCATCTTCCCAGAGAGCTACTCCCTGGAGCTTTATTAGTTAAGCTTCCAGTAGCAGTAGGAGGCCTCTCTTACAAAAACACTTAGAGAAGTCACATAAACAGGCCAGGCTAATGAGGCCACAAGGAGCCTCTCCCCTGCCCATGCTTCCCCAGGGAACTGGAGGTGTTGTGAAATAGGAGCAGGGCTTGACAGGGGACCTGAGCTACATCTTGGCAAGGTGCACTGTCTTGTCAACGACAAGGTACATCCTGACATTGCCCCTCTTACCTGCACATGATCTCGTGAGTGAGCAGCACCCGGCACATTTCAGGGTTCTTGTCCTGTCCCTCATAGATGATAGCCTGGGGAAGAGGAAGTGTGCAGGCTTGCGGGGAAGGAGGCTCCTCTCAAGTCCCCGCGGCAGGCATGGGTGAGCCTGTGGGTCTGCCCTGGCGTCTCCCAAACCCAGGCCCGGAGAAGTCCCACCCCAGGAAAGATCATGTCCTTTGCCCTCATCTGAAGAGTCCAGGGGTGTAAGCAGGACCCTGAAGCCTGGCTGCTCAGGTGGAAGAAAACCTTCATCTAGGTGGCAATACTGGCACCAGGTCTGCAGATTCCCTGCTGCAGGAGCAGAGAGGCTCCTGGTCCCACCCTGCATCATGTTCCTACTCTCACCCACTCCTAGCATCTTCTGTGCCGGCTGTCCCATGCTTTGGTGGCCTTCTGCCTCTGCTCAAGTAGACAGTCCCTCTCTACAATTCCCGCTAACTAATAAAAGACGCCATTGAGCTGCCTCTTCCCACCTCCTTATCACTTCCTCAGCTCAGACCAGCATGTTGCCCTCCAACTGTTGTATCCCCTCTTTCACAGACTCCCAGTGGCCCCTTTCCTGAACAAGATGTCAGCTTCCCAAACTGTAAATCTGGTTTCCTAGTCTAATAGACTCTGGGCCTTCCAGCCTTCCTCTGTTTGAAGTCCTTTTCTCTCTAGGCTCCCACACGCCACCCAGTTCCACCGCCACTGCTTGGCCTGCCTCCCCTGTCACAGCAACTGAGAGATTTCTGGACATAAGCTTTGCTGTGGTGGAGGCTGCTAGAAGCACCTGTCCCTACAACAGCATGCAAGTTGCCACGTTTCATTCCAGACCCACTAATCTGGCCCATTTGGGATTCAAGCTCCTTCTACCAGCATGTTTCTGAAATCCCTGAGACTTGGGCTGCCTCTCAGAGTGCATCAGGTTGGTGTCCCTGAGCTGCTTTTGTCAGCCCCAGCCCCCTTCCTGGAACATGACATGTGCTGAGTGTCTGCAGTCCGAGCTCTGGGACTGCACACGGGTCTCTTTCCTGACCCAGTGCACCCGTCCCCTTTGCAGCTGGTGATGACATCAGAGGACTTTCTCTTGAGAACTGCTCTCAGTGGAGTTGCCTCTACTGCGTACTCTCACCTTAGGCATGGAACCCAGGCAATGGCTGACTGACAGAAGACGCAAAATGCTGCCTCCTTGCTTTAAGGGCACCAACTCCAGTGCCATTTCTATTCTGGCGATCCCTGTGGGTTGGGCTAAGGCTGGACTCTACCTGAGACCACCTGCTTCCTGGGTATCTTCCTTTCCTCTCCTCCTGAGGAGGGCTTTCCCTCCTCACCAATAAAGTGCATGCCCCTGAGTTTGTGTCTAAGATTGGGTTGCTAAGGGATCTGACTTAAGCCAGGTCTTTTATAGATACTTTTTTTTCCATACTGAAGAGAAAAAGTACCATCTTCTTGCCATAGGCAGGGACCTGGGAGAGCTAGAGCAGTGAGAGTAAAGGTACAAGACAGACAGTGAGGGCTTAAGGATGTTTACTCAAACCAAGCCTAGGATGGGCCTGAACATCCCCCAGGCTGGCTCACCTGCTTCGACATGGAGTCAATGAGACGCACATAGAGGTCTTGCTCTGTCCGGAGTCCTGGGGCGGGGAGGCAAAAAGAACGTGCTATCAGGGGCGCATGAGGGTGCCTCAGCTGACTATAGCCATGCCCTCTCTGGCCCTGATGAGGTGCTAGGTGTCTCAGAGTGCTGCAGTACCCAGACTCTGCTTACCATTGTTATACACCAGCCGAAGGCGGTAATGGATCCCATTGTTTGTCTTTTCTGTCCCAGGCTCCTGCAAGGACAAGACAGGAGGACGTTCAAGAGCCCAGGGCCCTCAACCTCCTTCACCCATACCCTCCGCCCTAATCCCACTGTCCTTTGCTGTCTTCCAGCCACTGGACCATGCTTTCCCATTCACGTGCCACCTACCCACTGCCTTCCCCAGTGTGCGTGCGCGTGTGTGTGGCAGGGTCCCTGAAGCCCCCCATCTCTCCCGGGGCTAGTCCCAGGCCAGCCCGCGAGCCTCTCACTCGGTCCTTTTCCACGAAGTCGATGAAGGCCGTGCGCTCCACCTCCACGGGCTGCCCCTGCCGGTCGTACATGGCCAGCACGAAGTGGAAGAAGTTGGACTTCCTGAGGTTGGAGGGGGGCTGCTTTTCAAAATGTGCTCTTGCCAGGCCCACGCCACTGTGGGAGGAAAGGAACTGGAAAACCACTGGAAGAGCCCTCCAGTGAGAAAGACCCCAACGCTTCTGACCAGGCAGGTGACTGGCCAGGAGTAGGCTTTGACATGTCAAGAGTTTGGACAAGAGGTCAAGTACGACAGGCCTTTCCATCCGGGACAGGACCATCTCAGTTCCATAAAGAGGCCTCTAGCACCAAGGCTACCCCAGCATGCTTCTTTGAGAAGAAACACCACAGGTGCTATGTGAAAGCATCCTGCCAGGCTTTCCCCACTGCCGGCTTCTCCCTGGCACTCATATTTAGAAAGGCTTATCTCTAAAATCAAGTGTATAAACTGTAAATCAATTCATTGTACTAGCCAGAGGCATTTAGAAGTGTGTCTCAAGGCATCAAAGGGCACCTAGGAGGTTCTGGAATGAATTTCCCACTGAACCCCAATTTTCAGCTGGGACTCCACTCAGACTGTGGCATTATTTAGGACATGATATCCATCACACTACCAGGGACATGAACTGGTTCCAGGCTATTAGTCTGCCCATCCTAGACCTTGGGCTACGGCTACAGATGGGGAATACCTTTCAAGGTGCAGAGGGCATGACTCCAGCTTCAAGACGACATGGCCTCCGGGCAGGAGGATCTCCTAGTTTGACCTTACAAAGGCTTTCTCCTGGCTCATCAGAGACCTTGCTCAGAAGCAAGAAGGAAGAGAAGAACAAGGCCTCCTGTACCACAATGTCCCTAAACTCCAGTGTGGCACTAAACTCTATAACCTGTAGCAGATAGCACTGGGATTAAATGCCTGGAAGAGGAGGGGATTCACAGGCAGAGAGCTGGAACAAGGGCCAGAGTGTGGGTGTCCCTAGCCCCAAATATGTCACCACATAAAAAAAAAAGAAGCAAAAGAGGAAAATATTGCTTGGTGTTATGGTGTGTGTGTGTGTGTGTGTGTGTGTGTGTGTGTGTGTGTGTGTGTGTTGCTTTGGTCTCATTGTTGTTTTTGAGACAGGGTCTCACTCTGTAGTCTAGGCTGGCCTGGAACTCACTATGTAGTTCAGGCTGGCCTCAAACTTGCTGTGATCTTCCTGCCTCAGCCTCCCAAGTGCTGGGATTATGATGTGAGCCACCACACCTGGCAAAAAAACAAAGGATAATAATTCTTTTGTGGGATATGGGGGAAGACTTACAGGGACTGTGGCTTTCCCAAGACCCCCAGAGAGTAAGTATAAACTCAGTAACTGGAAGAGGCAAGAGAGCAGAACAAACAGCCCCAGAAATAGCTACAAGGGCACGTATCAGTGGATCAGCACCGTGTGAGGGATGTAACACAGTTGGAAAAGTGACTACCTAGCATGAAGGAAGCCCTGGGTTCAATACCCAGTGCCATGTACAACCAGGACTGGTGGTGCACACCTGTAATCCCAGGACCCTGGAGGTGGAGACAGGAGGACTGGAGGCTCATCCTTGGCTACATAGTGAGTTGGAGGTGAGCATGAGATACAGGAGACTCTGTCTCAAAATAAATAGAGAAAGAAGAACAGTGAAAGGAAATGGGAATAATGGGAAGGGGACTGGGGAGATGTCTCAGTGCTTAAAGCACTTGTCATGTAAATGTGAGGACTTGAGAGCCCCAGACCCCACATAGACGCTGGGTGGATATAACATTGCTAAGAAGGCAGAGACAGGGGTACACATAACAAGCTGGCTAACTAGCCTAGCCATATGGATGAGGCCCTGCCTCAGTAAGTTGGAGAATGATTAAGGAAGACATCAATCACGGTCCTCCAAATGCACACATATGCATGTGCTCCCACACAGGCAAAGATGCATGCACGCACATGCATGCACACTCGAACCCCACATGTACACATTCATGGGGGTGTAGAGCAAGGAGAGAAAGTTTACATCGGTAGTTCCTGCAAGACAGTGTAGGAATAGGAACAGTTTCTTCTCCAGGCCAGGTATTGCAAAGCATGTTTCTTACAGGGTTCCTTCTCCCTAGAGAGGAATGTGCGGCCACTTGCTGGGAAATGTGACTCACAGCACATATGGGATTCTTTGAAGGCCGCTGGACACCCTGCAAAAATGGACTCTGCTTCAGTTGCTCAGGTTAGTATTCCCTATGCACTAGGTACCTAGACTCCAAGATGATGGTTCCCAAGGATTCTGACTCTTGGTACTCATGTGCTTAAGCAGGTTCCTCTCATAATGTGTTTCTGCTGGTCCATGTGGCCAACAGACTATAACAAAAATGACAGCACATGACTTCCACATTCTAGGTCTCGAAAGCACTGTAGCCTCTGCCTTGTTCTTTTTCTCGACTCATTACACAGGGGAAGCCAGCTGCCATTAAAAACCAGTGCCCAGGACTGGGGAGGTGGTAAATGAGCTGGTAAATCGTGTGCTTTATAAGCATGAGGACCTGCGTTTGGAACCCTGGAACCAACATAGAAAGCCAGACATGGTGCTGCCTGCTTGTAATCCCAGAGATGGCAAGATGGGAAGCAGAGATGGGGAATCCCTGGGGCTTGCTGGTCATTGATGAAGTCCCTGGCCCAGTGGAGACCCTGTCTCAAACAGAAGGTAAAAGGTACATCAGGTATGACATGAGGCTGTACACTGACCTCCTTATGCACTCCACACGTATACAGACATACATGAACACACACACACACACACACACACACACACACACACACACACACACCAGATGCCCATCAGGCATGCTTCCTTGACAATGACTACCAAATTCATTGCTATTTAATATTTTCTTCCACATAATTTAAAATCAGGAGTCAGTAAGCTAGCTCAATGTGCAAAAGGCTCTTACTGCCAACCTAAGTTTGATCCATAGAACCTACAAGTAGAAGGAGAGGACTAACTCGCATCAACTGTCCTCTTACCTCTGTAAGTGCACCATGGCACGTTCGAACAACGCCCCCCACACACACACCAAATGAATAAATACAAGTTAAAAAAAATCAACTTAACTGTTTTCTTTGGCTTCATACTAGGCCATAGTATCTATGCTGTGAGGGAATGAGGCAATTGCTGTGTTTTCACTCATACGGAGTATAGGGAAAAAATGAACTGTTCTTTCTCCTGGATACATTTTTTGGGAGCCACAGTGACCATGGACTGGGTGATCTAGGAGGTAGATGTGAAGAATCACCTTGTCTCCCCAGCAAGATGACAAGAAGGTGCCCAACACTCCTCCCTACCAGAAGTTCCCTTCTCCAGGGGTATTGTCCTCTCTCCATTCTTCCTTCCCAAGTCCCTCCTGGCTAGGTTGCCTTTTAAGTGGGGACTTGACCACCCTCTGTCAGCTTCTCAACCTGCCTGAGAGGCAGGGAAGCCTGAAGAGAGCTTTTGATCACAGCAGGCCTCTGATTACTATGGATGAATATGTTAATGAGACATCAACCCTGAGCTCCACCCTCCTACTTTCAGGGCTAGCTTAGCTTGAACTCGGCCAGGGATAGTTTCAAGAACCACCAAGTGGGGCTGGAGAGATGGCTCAGCCGTTAAAGGCTAGGCTCACAACCAAAAATATAAGGGTTCCGTTCCCAGCACCCACGGCTGTCTCTCCAGCCACCAGTAGTGAAAAGGCACATTCACCAACTCTACTCTACAAAGCATGGATAGCATTTCTGCCTACTCCAGCTGTGTGTCATTGAAATCCACAAACACTATTGCAGCAAACATAGCTAGCCATAAGATTAAAAATACCTGTTACTTGCAATGCTTAAGCCTGCAGATATGTAATGTGACCACTGTTTTGTGTTGACAGTATTGCTTTATACAGTTCTTGTATTTGATGGGAATTGCTCCTCTTAAATGAACATGGTGTATACATTGTTCTTACGGGACTATTTCAGTGATGTAAATAGTGAATATCTTTAAAAAAAAAAGAACCACCAAGTGGAACAGATGACAGAAGGGGATGGTCTTGTAGAGCAATCCTATCTCTGCTGTCCTTTACTCCTATGCTGAGGCTAGTAGGCTCTCAGACAGTGGGGAGAAAGTAGAGAGGAAAGAAGTAGATTTGAGAAAGTATAGAAAATGCCAGGCTACTCGACAGGCCTTTTCTATGCAAAAGCCCTTGCTTGGCTCAGGGCTTCTAACCTGGTTTAGAGGAAACTGATGGTGGCTGAGTTTCCTTCCCTTCCTACCCCAGTCCCCTTGACAAATGTCAGTTAATCCAGAGTCCTGTTTACCCCTTGCTCCTGCTCATCTCCTAAGAACCAAACCTGGAAGTCTTCCCTAAGCCCTAGGCCATACTCCCTATGCTGGGCCTGCCCTCCCTATGGACAGGATTTCTTGGGAGACAGAGAACACAGAGATTAGGGAAGGGGAAAGAACGAAGGTTCCTCTGGGGGACATGGATCAGTATCAGGTGATCGGGTGTGAGGCATAGAGAAACTGAGCCACCTCTCATGCCTGGCTCTATTCCTCCTGAGGCAGCCTAGAGTAGCACCCAACCCTCCACCCCGCTCAGGCTCACAGACTTCCCAGGGGGAGCATTGACTAGTTAACATTTCCATTATCAGGAACTACCACAGAACAATATTAACGACAGTCTTAGCCCCCATCAGGCCATGGTTGGCCAATGGAATGGGAAAACCCCTGCTAGGCACATCCTCTGCTCCATGCCTGGGAAGTCTCCAGTTTACCTCAGCCATGACTCAGCCACCTAAGTGAGGAGACTGAGATAGAATGGGAAAAGATTTTGCTGAAAAGAGTCTAGTATTTTGTATGTGCATGACACAGAATAATACAAGGATTGTGCTGGGCAGAGGGACAGAAGGCCAAAGAAAACGGAAGTGGGCTGGACCGTGTCTCCCTTCCCTGGCTCTGCTCATTGAGCCTGTACCTGTGACTGCAGTAGGTGATCAACACCTGTTAGGTAGAACTGCAAGCAGCAAAGGGAGAAACCTGGGGAGGAGGAAGGGAAAAAAATGTTTTTCTTTTCTCCCCTTGGGAGAAGCTGCTGCTCTTGTAATAGA